GTCCTTTAGGTGTGAACGTGGCTGTCTGGTCCTTTAGGTGTGAACATGGCTGTCTGGTCCTTTAGGTGTGAATGTGGCTGTCTGGAAAAGCTCTTGCATTCAGTGGCTCATGTGGTCATAAGGCGCTGATAGGACCCTTTGAGGATCTACTTGGCATATGACCTTATTCAGTGGAAGGAATAAAATGGCTGGAAGCTTATTATGACTCGTAAGGCATTTTTAATCTAGTGTTTTATTTGAAAGTTATGACCACCCTGGGTGCAGTGAGATAGTGATTGACATTACAAACCCTGTCCTAAAAACCACCAGAAACAAAACAAAAACAAAAGAAAAAGCAAAAAGAAAGAAAGAAATGCCTTAACAACAAGAGCTTGCTGGAAGAGGTTCACTTTTCTGTCCCTCGAAGCACCCTACACGTGAACACCTGAGCGTGTGGTTGTCCATTCATAAAAGCAAAGTCTGTCCAGTGTTTGCCGCTGTGCCAGGGACAAGGAGATGGTGGTTGTTGGACACAGGCACCGCTATTATCGGCCTCCAGTTAGAAGTAGGATGTGCAAGGCATACATTTCAGTTAGCAGAAACAAACGTTTGTCCGTGTGTCACATCCCAGTGAGTGTGCATCGCCCTTGGGAACCCTGCCCTGCGGCAGCGGGGAACCCAGGAGTCCCTTAGGCTGTGCTCTGACAGTGGCACGGAGGTGACTTGGCCAGGTGGCTGTGGAAGGCCGCAGGGTTGTTGGTAATGTCCGTCAGAACCTCCAGCTTATTTTTATTTTGCTTTTGGGTTTTGTTACCTTTACTATTATAGATGAAGGTTTGTGGAATCATGAGATTTTAATGCTCAGAAGAACTTTAGTTTTCCTAACTGAGACTGTACCTGAAGACGTTGAAGCGATGGAATGTTAGGAGTCAAGCTCGGGTTGCTGGGTTTCTCCCTCTCTCTGCGCAGGTGGGAGGGAGTGCTGTGGGGATGATTGAGGAGGGACATGACGAGACACATGTATGTACCTACTTACTGTGTACATGCGGAAAGAATGGACGGAAACGGGAAAAGAAGAAATTGGAATTTTAAGAGTTTAAATTAGAATGTGCTGAATTATGAAATAAAATCTGAAAAATTTGTAATCTGCCTCACTGATGTTTTCCCTCTTTAACTCACTTCCATTTAATCTTTGTTTCTGTATTTTTATTGATAAAGATAATAGAGAGCCCAACCTCCCCCCTCCAAAAGATTTTTCCAGGTGGTGGTGGTGGTGGTGGCACACACCTTTAATCCCAGCACTTGTGGGGCCGGTGAGGGTCTTGAGTTCAAGGCCAGCCTGGTCTACAGAGTGAGTTCCAGGACAATCAGAGCTACACGGAGAAACCCTGTCTCAAAAAGCCAAAACAACAACAACAACCTTTAAAAAGAAAATAGAGAGTTTAGATCCCTTAAAGGTGTTTTAGATGCTGTATAGAACGCATCTTCAGAGTTTTGCAGGGTTTCGTCAATGACTTTGTTTCCTTTCATTGTCACTTACTGTTCTTTTTCTTCTTTTATTTTCCAGAATTTTATAGAAGTGAAGTGATTAAGAATTCCTTGGTAAGTTTACTTTCTGACAGGTGCGTGTGACTCAACCTGTACCCCTGTTTCAGGAAGTGGGAGAGGTGTAAGCTGAGGCCCAGTTCCTGTGTTACGGCACACAGGATCTGCTCGGTTGTCAGTCATTGCTGAATTCTTCTTTTTGTTGAAAACTTTAATTGCATCATCATTTCCACTTACAAAGAACTTGGCTATTTTTGATTCTGTATTTATTTTGGCCAAATTCATAAGAATACTTTGACTTTGTATATAGAACCTTATTTCTCGGGGATGTAAGTTTTGTTCTATGAGAAAGCTGAAAGGGTCGGCCTGGGCATGTGCACATGGCTGTAATCCCAGGGTGTGGGAGGAAGGTGCAGGGAGGATTGCAAGTTTTAAGAGTAACCTCAACCAGACCGTGAGAACCTGTCACCAAAAAACAAGAGCAAAAAGCCAAGAACGAAGCATCCCACTTTTTCTGTTTGGAGAAGTTTCGTTTTAAAGTGTGTGTGTGTGTGTATGCACAGTAGTCTTGATAATTTTACCTCTTTTTGTATTTCATATGAATGAAATATTGTCGTAAGAGCCCTGGTGACTGGAGTTCATGTGCCAACTTGGTTGCCATGATCGGTTGACCCTGTGTGCTGAATTTGATTTGTTTGTATGTATTCTACTGAATGAATGTAATAGGTACTCATTTTTTCCCCTGTTGGTGGCCATATTTGGCTTCTAGTTTAGTGCTGTAAATACTCTGGGCATCTCTAGTGGAGCATGTATGTTTTTCTCTGGAATCCTGTGAACATGCTTACGGTTGGCTGAAGCTTCTAGCTGGCTCTACAATACTGTGCTTCCATTTATACTCTCTCCATTTGTATGAGAATTCTGATCACATTATTGTGAACACTTGATATTTTTAAAATTTAAATGTTGATAGAAATTATATACCAGATATTTTTTCTTTTGTTATTGAGGCAGCTATTCTAAACTTAGACTATCTAGCGCCAACAGGATGGTTAACTGAAAAGTCTGTAAGGGTGTGCTTGAGGCCCAGGCCTCCTGAAGACTGCCACCTGGTGGTTAAACACGTTAGGACTTCGTTGATTCTCATTCTCCCTCATTCTCTTCCTCCTCCATCCCTCTTTCCCTCAAAACAAACACAAACAAGTGATGGAGGTGGGAGGGAGAGGGGGGAGGAGGGATGGAAATGTGTCTCCAAGTTATATGTCAGAATCATAGCTCTTTGTCACATTCCTTTAGCCAATGACAGCTAATGGTGGCAATTCTGCTTTAATTACCTCTGGCTTCAGCTAGACACCCCTCCCCCAAGTTATGAGTATTTCTGTTGTTCCTGATTTTTGGTTCAAGTGGAGGCTGCATCCTTACTGTGACTGACAGCTCATCCGAGTAGGTAATGACCTCAGCGACTGGAGGAGGGGTAGAGGGAAAGGCCGGCTGGAAGCCCTGGAGTTGATTTATCCACAGACATGTTGGGCGTTTGGAAATGCTCTGCCGTCTGTGATCTCAGGGCGGGTTAGCTGTGTTCTATGCATTATTTCTCACTGAAGCCAATGCGTCAACGCTAGGCATGTTCTTGTTCCTTGGTGAGGAAACAGGCTGGGAACTTGATGTTAGCTGCACAGTTCATGACACATCATCACGTCCCTCAGTGTGACTTTCACCTAGAGGCCACTGAGCCTTGCTGTTGCATACACAAAGCGTATAGCATGTATTTGTAGAGCAAACATGAGGCCCAGCTTACCAGAACAATCGCTGGGTTTGTGAGTAGAGTTGTCTTCAGCTGAGGCGGGAGCTGCACAGCATAAACGCCTCTTTATAAGTTCCTGGCCCGGGGGAGTCATTCCAAGTCACCTCCGCCTCAGTTGAATCATGGCTGAATAAATTAACACTTGAGCTGCCTCTATGTTGCTCACGTCGGACATGCGACTCCGAGTTAAACTGCGCCTTCATCAGGGGTTTCCAGCTTCCTCTAGTCTGCACGAATGGGCGGGTGGGCGACTGAGCTGGTTGGAACAGGCAGTCACAGTGCAAGGTCGGTAGAAGGTGCAGTGAAGGCTGAGGTGTGGTCCATCTCAGTCAGAGGGAGGAAGGCTGAGGTGTGGTCCATCTCAGTCGGAGGGAGGCTGTAGTGTGGTCCATCTCAGTGCAGAAGGAGGGAGGCTGCAGTGTGGTCCATCTCAGTGCAGAAGGAGGGAGGCTGCTGTGTGGTCCATCTCAGTGCAGAAGGAGGGAGGCTGCATGCAGTGTGGTCCATCTCAGTGCAGTATGTCATCCCAGAGCTGGGTAAGATGCCTGAGCTGCGCTGTCAGTATAAATTCTAGTGAGATATCTTGCGTGTGTTTTTAAAGAAATTGGTACAGCTTTTATGCATTTTTATTTGAGTTTCTTGTGGTTATGTATCTTGATAACAAACAATGATAGAGAAATGAATGCTGCTAATACATAATCATTATTTTTTGCTATTTGGGTTTTTTTTGTTTGTGTTTGTTTTGAGACAGTGTTTTTCTGTGTAGCCCTCATTGTCTTGGAACTCATTCTGTAGACAAGGCTGGCCTCAAATTCGCAGAGATCCACCTTGCTCTGTCTCAGAAGTGATGGGATTAAAGGCATGTGCTGATAATAATGATTTTTGATTTTTAAACTTCTGATAAAAAAGTAGTGAACTCTCAAGACTATGAATCCTGATATTTAGTGGAGATCGATTAAGTCAGCTGATGTTACCACTTGAACAGTCTCATCTACCTGGTTATTGATCTGGTCTGTATGTCAAGTAAACATTTAAAGTTCTGTCTGGATCTAGACAGTGAAAATACTGAGCAGTAGCATGAATAGGTGGCAGGCTGTATCTGTCTGTGCCTGCATGTACCAGCGTAGGAATTATTCATACAGAGGAAGGGCCGTTGGGAGAAGATGGCAGTGGGCTGCTGTGTTGGTACATCAGCCTGGAAAGGAGCCCTGGCCACCGTGTCTTCTATGAAATAAGCCCCCATGCCCTACAAAGGCGGGTCTTTGATTAGATGCTGCATTTGAGGATGCTCCATATCCCACCCTCCCCACCATGCAGCCTGGCCCTCAGGTGCTTCTGCTCAGTTTCCATTTTCATATTGGGAGAAAGTGGTTACTTCATGCCTTTTCTATCCCCTTGTCGTACGGGTAGTGAGAATTCGGAATGATGTGTGTGTTTATTGTGATGTGATCTCGTAGGGAGTTAAGTGGTTGCCTTTTCAGGCGGTTTAAGCCAGCTCTTGCCCTTCAGGCTTTGGACTGACGTCACAGTAGGCAAAGAAGATGTTGGATTTTTTTTTCCCATTTAAGTCTTATAACTAAAACAAAACCAAAAAAAATTTTTTTTCATTACTTTTATGCCAGGTGTGGTGGTGCACCAATTTTAATTCTGGCACTTGGGAGGCAGACGCCAGTAAGTCTCTGAGTTCAAGGTGACTGTGAGAGTAGTGAGGCGCTGTCTTAAACACACACACACACACACACACACACACACACACACAGAAGAGAGCCTCTGTGTTGGTGCACGCCTCCTAATACCAGTGCTTGAGAGGCAACGATCAGCCTGTTCTACAGTGGACAGTCAAGGGTACACAGAAACGCCCTGTCTCAAACAAAGAACAACACCCGGCCCCACGTACGCACACAAATAAAAATCAAAGAGAAGAGGAGCACGGTTGTTTTCTCCTGTGTCTCCTTCCGATCACTAACACACCCCAAGAGGCCAGCAAGCCCCCTTTTCTGGCTTCCTACAGAGAGCACCTCTGCCTCGCTCAGCCCATACGTGGCCTACTATGTTTTGTTCAGCATATTTGTGAGACTGTTGGTGTGTTCTGTTATTCCCTCAGTCTAAAGATCATCTCTGTTGAACAGAAGAATGTGTTTCTCTGGTGTTACCGAGGCTTATGTTGGGGCGTTAACCCCCTTAAACCTCTCAAGATTCAGAAGAATCGCTATAGCAGATGAAAACTGCTAACGATATTTGAGGGTAAATAAATTGACTCACGGAAGTCTTTTTATCATGTCCCACGTATTCTTCATGCACTCTTGATGTTCCTGGCTGTTCTTCCCACGCCAGTTTCTATACCACACAGGCACAGTTAGTAATTCCCTAGGTGATAACACTGGTACCAGGCACGCATTTCTTAGGGCTAATAGGAGGGATTAGACTGTCAAGGCAGGTCCTTATGTCTCGGAAGGGGCGCGACTGTGAACGCCCCAGCAGGCAACGACGTCTGACAAGCAGTTACTTAATGTCTCCTCAGCATCAGCTTCTCCTCCTGTTACCGACTTTACCAGGGCTCTGGAGTTAGAGGAGTAAGTTGAAATGTGTGCACACGTCGCTAGCAGGGGCTTGGCACTAGGACGTCAGGAGACATGAGATGCTCTGGGAGAAATTGCAGCCTTTGAGGAGGCCACAGCAGGCGAGGAAAGCCCCTTCCCAGTGATAGTTTTACCAGAAGCGAGAGTGAGCAGGGCCGTTCTTATTCCCCATTTAGATAACATGATGCACATGAGATAAGAAAATGAGGGAACCCTAACCTGTGCTTTCCACTGTAGTAGTTTGGTTTTTTGGGGGACCTCAAACTGATGAGGATTTCTTTAGCTTAGTACCTGGAATGTAACGTATTGTTTAGTTTATTCAGCAAATCTTTGAATCCTGGCTGTGTCTCCAGGGCACTAAGAGGGGAAAACAGTAGCAGAAACGCCCCAGCTTTCCAGAGGGTCTGTGTAGGGCTGGCAGTTAGGAGGCAAGCACTGGGGCACCCCTGCAGGAGAAGGGCTTGACCTGAAGTCTAGCGGTCAGAGAAATGTTAACCCAGGAAAGAACAGCTGTGGAAGAGCCTGAGCCGGGCTCTGCCCAGAGACCTCAGCTTCCTCATTTCAAGACCTGAGTTTGACTGACAGGTTCAAAGGTGCTTTTTTTAGTTCTGATATTTCTAGAATACATAAACTAGGAGACACCTTAGTTTATCTGCCAACGGTCCTTCCTCCTTTGTGCTGTGATCTGTGTAGATTAAACCAGGTGCAATGGTCAGAGAAAATGGACCACAGCTGATAACGTTTGTCAGGGTGATGACTGAGGGGAGCAGAGGGCGGATGGGGGAGCAGAGGGGAGGATGGGGAGCGGAGGGGTGGCTCACACCTTAGAGCTCTGGTGTATCATGTTCTCGTTACCCGGAATTCCTGACTTTAATCTCCTGAATTTCTATTTGTGCATTCAAAGCTCCCACAGGCTCGAATGTCTTCCCCGCTTCTTAGAGTTGGTTGTTTCTTCCGTACTGCTGTGTAACCTTAGCATAATTCTGTCACCGGACTCTCCACAGTTCCTGTTTATTTATTTTTATGTATGTGACGCTGGGAACTGAACCCAGGGCCTTTGCCAGGCAATCAATGTGCTGCTGGACTGCATCTCTGGTGATGCAGTTGTTCTAAGTGGAGATCTAAATTGGAGTCCTGTGGGCGTTGTTTCTGTGCTGCCCCCTTTTCGTGGTTTGTGAATTTCATGCGTGCATGTAACGTGGTTTGACCACCCCACCTCCTCCAGTTCCTTCCATGTCCTTGAAAGCTGATTCTGCCCCCACCAGCCGCTGTCAGGTGCCAGCCACTTACGTCCTCAGCAGGGGGTGGAACTTAGCATCTCCCTGCGCCCCCATCTGTGCTGACATTTTTGGCCAGCTTGGTCTTGTGCAGTCTTGTGCATGCAGTCCCAGCGCTGCGAGTTCACCTGTGCAGCGGCCCTGACACATTGGGCAGTACTGATGTCCATACCTGTGGCTCTTACAGTCTCCCCTTCCTTCTCCTTGACTATTCCTGAGCCTTGGAGGTAGGGGATGTTGTACGGTTGTCCCAGCTGAGAGCTCCGCATGCTCTTATTTCCTGCATGTTGACCAGTTGTGTGTCTCTGTATCTGCCCGTGCATTAGCTTCATGCATTGTGTTGAATAAACGAGAGACGGTATCACCATGTCAGTGGGAGCAAGAGTGATCTGCGTCGAGCCGATAAATCTGGAGGTGCCATTGTCACCGTGCGTAATTGCAGGGTTGTATTGTTCGTCTTTAAAACAAGCTTTTATTTTGTATATGCCAGCGAACAGGGGTCTGAGCATGCCAGGCGCATGCGGAAGCCGAAGGACAGCTTGCAGGAGCTGACTCTTGTCTTTCTTCATGTGGGCTCTGGGGTTTGAACTCAGGTTGTCAGGCTTGGTGACAAATGCTCTTACCAACGGAGTCATCCTGCCAGCTTTCAGGTTTTTGAGTATATGGGTGTTTTGTCTGCATTGCTCTTGTGTGCCTGGTGCAGGCAGAGGCCAGAAGGGGGCGTCAGATACCCTGGAATTAGAGTTACAGGCGTTGTGTGTTGCCGCGTAGGTGCTGGCAGTCAAGAAGAGCAGCAACACTCTTAACCACCGAGCCACCGAGTCACCTCTCCAGCCCTGAGGGATGTTTAAGAACAAAATGATATGCCATCTAATCAGAACTCCTGTAAAGAAGCTGGAGTCTTAACTCGCATCTACGGTGTGTCTTAACTTCCATCTGCAGAATCCAACATGGAGGAGTCTTGACTTTGGAATTATGCCGGACCGCCTGGATACATCTGTGTCTTGCTTTGTGGTGAAGATTTGGGGTGGAAAGGACGATGCCTACCAGCTGCTGATAGAGTGGAAAGTCTACCTGGATGGGCTGAAGTACTTGGGTCAACAGGTAAGTTTCAGAGTGGCTTTCAAGGGTTGCCCTCTACAGATTAACTTGTCTAACTTTTCTATTGACTCTCTTCTCTCTACATTTTCAGTTATAATGGATCTTAATAGAAAAGAAAAAAGTAATTCAAAGTGTGCAATGAAAAAAGAAAAGTTACTTGCCAGGCAAGGTGACATGTGTCTAATCCCAGCACTCAGGAGGAGCAGGCAGGAGGAAGGCCATAAATTGGAGTTCTGACTGGTTTATACAGGGAGTTGTGGCCTAGCCAGAGCCTGGTAACAGAACCAGGACAACAACAAACAAGGCTTGTGGTACTATGTCTACTTAAGTTACTTACGTTGTTACATCTGAGTTACAAAAACCCCTTTGCTAGTTGTGTTTCCAGCCACCTGTGTGCCACCTGTGATCCTAGCCCAGGGAGGCTGAGATAGGATTACACCAAGTTTCAGGCCATCCTGGGCTATAGGGGAAGACTCTGTCTCAGGTAATAAACACACACAAAGGACCTTATTTTCCCATTGGGAAATTGAGATTGAGAGAGTTTAAGAAAATACTTACGATCTCACTTATTACTGTGAAGTTAAGATTTGGATCCAGATCTGCGTTGTCATTTAGAAAAAGCAGAGGTGGGGGGCAAGGTACAGACAGAGCTCTTCCTGGGGAAAAGTGAAATGAGAGGGGAGTGGGGAGAAGACTGGCCTGTGGGGACTGGAGTAACAGAAGAGGGAGGATGGATGGATGGACAGACAGAGGGAAAGAAAGAGATGGGAGGTAGGCAGGGCCCTTTTGAAAGTGTCTCATGTGCACAGGAGGTGCTCTTAGGGCCTCAGCTGAGGACCAGCCTGTCAGAACCCAAGGTCAGGCGGTACTGCTGCCGAGCACTAACAGTCTGTCCATCCTAAGAACCCCGCCCCCTCGTGCTGTGCTATGGCCGCGTGTCTGGGTGGGCCCTGGCGACCCTCTGCTCTCCCTTGGAGTGAAAACCAGTTCTCTCCGGTGATTCCCTGGTACTACTGTTAAAGTCACCCTAAAATGTTAGCCATAGGTTGTTTCCTTAACGTTTTGGTGATATTTGTTCAGTGTGTACATTCTGATGCTTTTGAAAGGAGATTTTTAAGCCTGATCTTTTTTATTTTTCTATAAAATTTGTCTGGTCTTTTGGTAGGTATTAAATCTAAGCAAATTTTGAGCATATTGAGTCTTTCATTCTGTAGACATGGTTTATCTGTTCATTTATGAATTGCTTCCTTGATTTCATTCACTAGTATTTTGTAGTTTTCAGCCTTCAGGTTACAAATATTATATTTATAGCTATATATTTCTATTTTTTAAATGAAATTTTAAATTGATACGGCTTTAGAGGTTGGGGAGACGGTTCTGTTAGTAAGAGCTTGCTGCACAAATCTGAGGGCCTGATTAGAATCCCCAGGACCTGAGACGAAGCCATTCCCGAGGTGCCATTCTGTAACCCAGTGGTGGGATGCTGAGCCAGGGATTCCCAGAGTTCACTGCTTGGCAACCCGTCTGAACAGGAAGGAGAGCTCGGGTTAGTGAGAGATACTGCCTCAAAACACAAGGTGGAGATGACTAATGAAGTCACCCGATGCTGACCTCTGGCCTGCACACACATGCACATTCTCATGCTTGAACATGTATGCACGGATATACCACACATAAAAATTACCATTGTTTTAAAAATATTCCTATTTACAGTTCTGGCTACTGAGTGAGGAAAGGCATGCTTCTGTATGAAACCATTGTATTACCTTGATAAATGCACATAGATAATGTGAGTTGAACACCGTTGAATTCCTTCTTTCCAAGAAGTATACTTTTGTTGTTGTTGTTTTTTATTGTTGTTTATTTGTGACAGGGTCTCCTGTAGTTCAGGCAGGACTTGAACTTGGTCATAGCTGAGGATGACCTTGATTTCTTGATCTTCCTCCTTTGGCTTCCTGAGTTGTGGGACGATAGGCATGCACCACCCGTGCCCAGGGTCTTAGTAGCTGTTACCACCCCATGACAAAATACCCCACAGGAAGCAGGCTGAAGCAGGGAGGGAGGAGTTAATCTTGGCTCACAGTTTCAGGGTGCCATCCATCATGGCTGGGGATGGGGGAGATGAATAGGAAGTGTCTCCCTCCCCAGACCTCAGGACCCGCCCCCTAGTGACCTACTTTTTCTTGCAGGCTCCATTTTGCAAAGGTTTTCCAGCGTCTTCTAACAGGCTTATCCTCTGGGGACCAAGTGTGCAAATACCCAGATCTAGGAAAGGATCATTTAATTTTTAAACTGTAACACTCGTCTTAAAATGTACTTCTTCACTCTTTGTTTGGGGTCTTATTTCATTGCTACTACCTGCAGGACATTGTTCAATATAAATTACTGGGGGTGGGCGGACAATTCTGTGTCTCTATTCTGCCTTATCTTGGGGAAAACATTCAGCCTTTGGCTCTTTATATTATGGGATTATTCAGCCTTTCACTATTAAATATCATATTATCAGGTTAGAGAAGTTTCTTCTTGTTCTTAACATGCTGAGCAGCTCTGGCCTCAAGGGACGCTGAACTTTATTACTTTAGGTTGAGTTCTGATAGGAACCCTCTTTAGTGACGATGCATTATCCTTTGCATGTATAAGCATGTTGGGTTTTTGCATGCTAACAGATTTGATAATATTTTGCTTGACCATTTCACAGCGTACTTGTTTGCTGGTATGGCACAGGAAGGGCTGGTCTCATGGACTTGGGCAGCCTGCTTCTGTTTTTTAGGAGAGTTTTTTTTTTAAAATAGGTTTTTACCATTCTACAAATATTTGACAGAAGTTTTCAATAGAACCTTCTAGGTGTTGATTTCTTTATGGGAAGGTTTTGACAGAGGACTTACAGTCTCAGACGTGGGGTTTCTTCATCAAGTGTTGGTGATTTCTCTTTGAAAGAAGTTGCCTGTTTGAACTGAGGATTTACATTTATTGGCATAAAGTTGCCTGCAGTCATTGCTAATCCCTCGTATATGGGTGGATCTGCAGGGAGCCCGCTGTGTCCTTCAGCCTGGTGTTTTTCTCTCCTGACCACTCTCTCTCAGTTTATTAACTTTCAAGTAGTGTTTGACTTCATAAATTACCGTTTTCAGGTACATTGATCTGTTTTCATCTTTAATTATGGTGATTATTTTGCTTGTTGCTGATACTCCTGGAAATTCTTTCTTTAGCTTCTTACTGGGGAAACTGAGTTCCTGATTTGAGAATTTACTTTGTCCTCAAAATAAGCAGTTGGTAATTGTTTTCTAAGCATCAATTCAGGGATAGCCCCAAATTTTTCCTTTTTATTCGTTTTCAAATATTTTCAAATGTACCTTTTATTTCTCCTTTGAGCATAAAGGTAGGCTACTTTTGGCTATTTATTCACTTTTAGATATCTTCTTGTGGTTGTCATCTACTTTAATTCTGTTAAGTTTATAGGAAACCATTTGTATGATTTCAGATTGTTTTATATCTCTAGATAGTCGGTGCACAATGCTATTTCAAGACTATGTCACCTGAATTCTGTAGTCAGGAAACAGAATATTTCATTCATACTTAGATGATGCTGGTCTCAAGTAAATTTAAAGAATGTGTTAGGATTAACCTGAGAAGTTGAGTCGGCTTAGAAATTGATTTCCTTATTTTAAGTTGGGGAAACCATAGACCCCAGCGGGGTGGTGATACACCACAGCCAAAGACGCGTTCTCATGCCAGCTGCAGTGGCAAGCCCCATGTCCTGAAGAGCCTGTCTGTTGTCAGTCAGGAAGTTGTCCCCAGAGAGCACGAGCTAAGCTTAGTCTTGTGGATTTGGCTAAGAAGAGGTGGAGTAGTTTGAAGACTGTTTACGGAGGCCACGCAGCACCCTGATGTGTGAAGGTGCAAGTTCTCACTTAGAGTTTTTGTGTTGGAACCTGAGTGATGATAGTGGCAGCTGTATCCTCCTTCCCTTCGGTAATCGCGTGTACAATATGCTCAGGGCCTTCTGAACACCCGGGAACAAGCATTGCTGTCTTGGGCAGTATTCAGGTGAGAAACCAGAAGCACAGAGACAGCAAGTGACTTGTTGAAGGTCACACAGTGATTGGCTTTAGGTTTTTCCTTGTTTATTAGATTAGTACAGTTCTAGGCTGTAGTTTCCTGTTATCACCCTGGAACAACTGAGTCAATCCAAGAGCGAGAATCAGACACCTACACTTCTCACCAGGACCTAGCAGTTCCAGCCTGTGTGCACTGTATGATGGCCTATCTGATCAAGCGTGTTTTTATTAGTCAAGAACAAAGAGATCATTCTGAGGTTTATATTCCTTGATTTCTAGTACATCCATAGACGCTCCCCTGTCCCCTGCCCCGCTGTCTCTCCCCTGTCCCCTGCCCCGCTGTCTGTCCCTCACCTGTCCCCTGCCCCGCTGTCTCTCACCTGTCCCCTGCCCCGCTGTCTCTCACCTGTCCCCTGCCCCGCTGTCTGTCTCTCACCTGTCCCCTGCCCCGCTGTTCCTCACCTGTCCCCTGCTCAAGCGCTGGTTTCTTTGCTCTCCTTTGTGTAGGTCGTAGCCAGTCTGTTTCTCAGCATGGGAACAGGTGAAGTTACAGCTGTCCTGCCTTGACCTCTGCAATAAGAACTAATTAGTGTGTTTCCCTCCTTCTTTAGATTCACGCTCGCAACCAAAACGAAATCATTTTTGGGCTGAACGACGGCTACTACGGTGCCCCATTTGAACATAAGGTAAGAGGATTCTTCGAATGGCCTGAGTTTTGCTTCATGTAGGTGCCTTGCCCCTGGGAAGATGGTCTCCTGGGGAGGTCTGTGCACACAGAAGCTTGTTTCAAGTGTCACCATGAGCCTCTCTGGGGACTTAGGGCGAATGTCTTTTCGAGTGAGAACTTGCTTTGTTGGACCTGCAACCACTCCCGGTAATCATTCCTAAATCCCGATTATGTTCTCTTAAAGGAAACGTAAGCTAGCTCTTTTCTTTTCTTCTACTTAATTCCTTGAGGATTGAGAAAGAGTGGTGAGCTGGACAAGGTGGCAGAGGCTTGTAATCCTGGCCACTCAGAAGGCTGCAGCCGAGGGTCACAGGATTGGGTCCTGCCCTGGTTCAGAGTGAGTTCAAGGCCTCCCTGATCTCACGATGAAAAGAGGCTGGGGGTGTTGCTCAGCCTTACGGGGCTCACCTACCACGCTGGGAGCCCTGGGCTCAAGCCCCACTCCTCCTCTCCCTGCAAATCAAGATTGGTGACTTTTGTACAAATGGAATGGTTTACTTAAAGTGTTTCAGTTATATGCTTCATCATTCTCAGTAAGCCTAAGAAACCCGTATTACACTGGTCATAACTACACACCTTTAGTCCCGGCACTCAAGAGGCGGAGGCAGGTAAATTTATATGAGTTTGGGGCCAGCCTGGTCTATAGAGGGAATTCTAGGCCAGCCTAGTGTGTAAAGTGAGATACTGCCTCGAAAGAGAGAAAGAAGGAAACTAAAATTGAAGCTGTTTGATGTCATTGCTGTCTCTACATCTAAAGATGAAGAGAGAAGGGAGGAGGCAGGGAGTCATTCTTAGCAGGGACCATCGGTGACAGGTGACTCAGCATCTTTCTGTAGCATACTCTTAACCAACACCATGGTGTTCTCTTCTCTCCATTTCATAGCCGTGGGTAAACTTCTTGGGGTCTAGAGAGTGGCTGAACCAAGATGTTGGGTTTCCTGACCCGAATCTGCTTTCCCAACTCTGACCTAAAAACAAACAAAACCAAAACAAAACTGTGAAGTCCACAGCTTGTGTTCGTTCAGAGGTCCCATTGTTTCATAATCTCGGTCGTGCGAGAAGCCATTGCTCGGATGCACGGTCACTCCACAGTTTGCTGATGTTTTAGGGTTGGCTGCTGTGCTCAAATGTGAGAGTGTAGTGGTAAGGCGGGCCTGGCGCACACCTCTCTCTGGCTGCGTGGCTGAGGTAGAGTTCAAGTATGGCCTGTGCTGGTGTTGTGAGAAGAGTGCTCCTGGACGTGGTTTCTGGAGTTAATAATCCAGGTTATGACTAAAAGACAGGTATGTGATAGGTGTGGGTGCTGAATGGAGAGAGCTTTCCAGAAGAGGAGACTAAGGCTGAAAGCCCATGGGGTGGAAGGGGCCTTGCGAGTCTCTGTCACAGTAGCAATCTACCGGCCACCACATGGAGTGCTGAGGGGTTTTACCCACAGGCGAGTCTCTGTCACAGTAGCACACTACCGGCCACCACATGGAGTGCTGAGGGGTTTTATCCACGGGCCTGGCTCATGCTTTGGTCAAGTGAGTTGTAATGGTTTTACTCTGGCCTATTTCGAAGAGCCAGCATGTGTGTGGGAAGATGGTGAGAAGGATCATCGGGTATAGTGTGTAAGGGATGTAGCAGTTTGGAACAGGGCCACGCAGCGTAGGCGAGAAGGGTCTGTTGTTGTTTTAAGGAAGTGGATGGCTTTCAGGGTCACCCAGGTGCTAGGCAAGCCCTTTACCTCTGAGCCACACCCCCAGCTCAGAAGACAGAGTGAGGGTTTAAGGAGATAAAGCCATTAGGGTTTGTTATGGTTTGCATTTGAGGTAAAAGGAAAAAAGAGATGTAAAGGATGAGTTTGGATTTCTGGCTAGATAAAGATGCTAGCCACAGGAAGCTTTAGGACCCAGGAATGGACTAGGGCCAGGAATGAGGAAGAACACAGATCTCGAGGTAAGTTGTGACTGCAGGGGTGTGTGGTGTCTTTAGGTGCAGGCATGGAAACTAGGCATTTGGATATGCAAATCTGGAGTTCAGAGGACAGAACTGAACTAGGGTTATGAATGTGGGGCTGATAGGCATAACTGGATATCAACATGTAGAAGAATAAAAGTAGATCCATGTCTATCGCCATGCACAAAACTCAAGTCCAAATGGATCAAAGACCTCCACATAAAACCATCCACACTGAACCTCATAGAAGAGAAAGTAGGAAGTACACTTGAATGCATTGGCACAGGAGACCACTTCCTAAATAGAACCCCAGTAGTACAGACACCGAGAGAAACAATAAGTGGGACCTCCTGAAACTGAGCACCTTCTGTAGAACAAAGGACATGGTCAACAAGAAGAGCAGCACCCATAGAATGGGAAAAGATCTTCACCACACCAATCGGACAGAGGGCTGATCTCCAAAATATACAAAGAACTAAAAATATTGGTCATCAAAAACAATCCAATAAAAAAATGGGGTACAGACTTAAACAGAGAACTCTCAACAGAGGATTCTAAAGTGGCTGAAAGACACTTAAGGAAATGCTCAATATCCTTATTATTTATATATCCTCAATATCCTTATATATCTTATTGCCATCAGAGAAATGCAAATCAAAACAACTCTGAGATTCTATCTTACACCTGTAAGAATGACCAAGATCAAAAACTCTGATGACAACTTATGTTGGAGAGGTTATGGGGTAAAAGGAACACTCCTGCATTGCTGGTGGGAATGCAAACTGGTACAACCCCTTTGGATATCAGTATGGTAATTTCTTAGAAAATTAGGAAACAACCTTCCTCAAGACACAGCAATACCACTTTTGGGTATATACCCAAGGATGCTCATACTACAAGGACTTGTGCTCAACTATGTTCATAGCAGCATTATTTGTCATAGCCAGAACCTGGTAACAAATGCCCCTCGACCGAAGAATAGATAAAGAAGATGTGATACATTTACACAATGGCGTACTACACAGCAGAAGAAAATAATGACATCTTGAAATTTGCAGACAAATGGATGGATCTAGAAGACATCATATTGAGTGAGGTAACCCAGACTCAGAAAGACAAATATTATATGTACTCACTCATATGTGGCTTTTAGATATGAATCAAAGAAAAACAGCCTACAATTCACAATCCCAGAGAACCTAGATAACAAAGAGGATCCTAAGAGACCCATACATGGATCTAATCTACCTGGGAAGTAGAAAAAGACAAGATCTCCTGAGTAAATTGGGAGCATGGGGATCATGGGAGAGGGTAGAAGGGGAGGGGAGAGGAAGGGAGGTGAGTGGAGAAATATATATAACCCATTAAAAGTAATTTTTTACAAATGTGCAAAGCCACTAAAGTCATGAATGTGTGTAACATAGGCTAGGAATAGACAGTAGAATAGAGAAGAGGGGCTGAGTGACCCAGCTGTGGACCCCAACTGCCAGAGGACAAGCGGAGAAGGGGACAGTGGGCAGTGACCACAGAAACAAAGGAGGTTGTTGTTGGGGAATCTGCAAGGTCAAGGCTCTGATTGTCTCATTCCCTTCCCTTTCTTTAAACTTGCAGGGTCTGATTGTTTTTGTGCTTTGTTTTTGAAGGAGATGGGGTGGTCAAGTAAACCAAGGGCTGAAAATTGCCTTTGTACTTTAGCATACAGAATTTATTCTAGGCGATATCTTTAGATATATCTTTAGATATCGGAGTTCCAGCTCCGAAAGGCTTCCCCCTTTCTTTCCCAGCTCCATCTCCTCAGTTCCTGCAGGATGTCTAGACCTCCCCTGCCAGATCTATTGCTTTGTCTGGAGACCTGTCTTCCTCTCCGTGAGCTTTGTAAGGCCACATTGACACATGCAGTGCTGGCTCCCCGTTCCCTGCTGCAGTTCTCAGGACATGGTATTTGCTTAGTAAAAACATTTGTGATTAAGTCAGAGCACAGTGAGGCTCCCTTTGCTGGGCTGTTTGCCATTCCCAAGGCTGTCCTGGAGCTGGAGGGGTGACTCACCCTGCAGTTGGTCTCTAGCTCATCACCGTGCAGAGTGTGGCAGTCAGAGAAGATGGTAGCATTGAGAGCCTGTTGTAAAAGGAGCAGCGGACTGCTTTCCTGCCGCCCGACTCCCGGCTGCCTGGTTAGCTTATACCCCAAATAACAACACACAAATTGTATTCATTTAAACACTGCCTGGCCCATTAGTTCTAGCCTCTAATGGGCTAACTCTCACATCCTGATTCAATCCATTTCTAATAATCTGTATGACACCACGAGACTGTATTGATTGCTCTTCTTGTTGAGGGAAAGCAACTTCAGGAAGGGAGGGCATTCAGTCCATTGCAGAGGGGAGGGCGTGGCCGCAGGACAAAGAGGTGCGGTCAAGAGGCAGAGAAAGATGAACGCTGGTGCTCAGCTTCTACTCCCCACCTTTACTATCCAGTCTGAGACCTCAGTCCTCAAGGCGGTACCACCACAAAGGGGACTCACTTTTTCGTCCTTAGATAAGCCTCTGGAAACCGACACAGTCACCCCCAGAGTTGATTCTCTCTCAGTCCAGTCAAGTTGGCAGTGCAGGTTAACCACCTCAGTAAGGTTCAAGAGCAATCAACCAGAGCTGGCCAGTGACACACGCCTGTAGTCCTAGCACTAGGGGAGGAGGGAGCAAGGTCGGTGGAGTTAAGGCCCAGCCTGATTTACAGAGTCAAATCTAGGACAGCCTCATCTAAACAGGGTTTTTGAAACCCTGTCTCAAAAAAACAAAACAAAACAAATAACAAACAACCCCACCCCCACCCAAATGAAAGCACACTGTTGTTACTTCTGATGTAGTCTTTGTGCTAAGAATCTGCCCTCAGTTTGTGGGTGTGCTGAGGGAAACTTAAAAAGCTTTCAAACAATTTAGACATCATTGTGACATTTTAAGTTATGGTCTTTGAAAGTATCAGTTCTCAGTGGACTGAATAAAGAATTTCAACAACTGCTGCTTC